CCCCGAGTGTCCCCGAGTGCCCTTGAGTATCACTGAGTGTCTCCAAGTGCCTCTGAGTGCCCCCAAGTGTCCCTGAGTGTCCCCGAGTGTCCCCAAGTGTCCCTGAGCGTCCCTGAGTCTCCCCAAGTTCTCCTGAGTGCCCCCGAGTGCCCCTGAGTGTTTCTGAGTGCCCCCGAGTGTCTCCAAGTGCCCCTGAGTGCCCTTGAGTGCCCCCGAGTGCCCCCAAGTGTCCCTGAGTGCCCCTGAGTGTCCCCAAGTCTTCCTGAGTGTCCCTGAATGCCCCCGAGTGTCCCCAAGTGTCCCTGAGTGTCTCCAAGTGTCCCTGAGTGCCCCTGAGTGTCCCCAAGTATCCCTGAGTGCCCCCAAGTGCCCCCGAGTGTCCCTGAGTGCCCCCGAGTATCTCCGAGTGTCCCTGAGTGTCCCCGAGTGCCCCCAAGTGTCCCTGAGTGTCCCCGAGTGTCCTCACCCCAAACCCAGCCGGACCCTGGAACTGCCCTGTGCACATTCAGGGTTTCCCCCACAGGGGAAACTGAGGCGCAGTGAGGGCAGGTCTGTCCCCTTTGTGCCACGGCCCCGTGCTGGCTGTCCCCACGGCCCCGGCTGTCCCCTGGCACCCTCCGTGCCACCCCCGCTGTCTCCCTGCAGTGCCAGACGGAAGCGCCCAAGACCCGGCGGCAAGCGGAGCTGCTGCAGAGCAGCAACCTGATCGAGATGGTGCCGCAGCCCGAGGGCCGCGTCTTCACCCGCTGCTTCTGCCTGGAGGAGCCGCTGGGCACCGTGAGCTCCGCCCGGGCCCGGCCCGCTCCCACCCCCGGCCCCGGGCCCGGCCCGCTCCCCCTGCCCACCCCTGGGCCTGTCCCGCTCCCTGTGTCCGTCTCCATCCTCATCCTGGGTCCCCGTCCTGTCCCCTGACCCGACCCCATCTCCATCACCTCCATCTTCATCTCCATCTCCATCTCTGTCTTCATCATCTTCATCTTCATCTTCATCTTCATCTTCATCTTCATCTTCATCCTGTTCCCATCCCCATTCCCAGTCCCATCCCAGTCCCATCCCAGTCCCATCCCAGTCCCACCCCATTTCCATCCCAGTCCCATCCCAGTCCTATCCCAGTCCCATCCCATTCCTCACCCCATCACCCCATCCCATTCCCATCCCATTCCCATCCCATTCCCCACCCCATTCCCCATCCCAGTCCCCATCCCAGTCCCATCCATTCCACCCCATTTCCATCCCATCCCCATCCCATTCCTCACCCCATCACCCCATTCCCTTCCCAATCCCATTCCCATTTCCATCCCATTCCCACCCCATTCCCCATCCCAGTCCCACCCCATTTCCATCCCATTCCCATCCCATCCCCATCCCAGTCCCATCCCAGTCCCCATTCCATTCCACCCCATTTCCATCCCATCCCCATCCCATTCCCCACCCCATCACCCCATTCCCTTCCCAGTCCCATTCCCATTTCCATCCCATTCCCATCCCATCCCTGCCCCGGTGCACCCCCCTTGTCCAAGCCCCTTGTCCCAGCCCCTGCCTCACACGGGAGGGAGGCGTCGGTGGCCGGCAGGGACGAGGGACAGGGAGGTGCCACCCTGGATGCCACCGGGATTTACGAGAGGGATCCCCCGGGCTGGCATCACCCAGGCAGGTGCCACCGCGCACTCTTCCCTCCCTGCAGGAGCCGGGCAGAACCTCGGCAAGGATCAGCCCGCGGGACGATCCCAAGGAAAAGGTGAGCGTGTCCCATCCCAGCTCCCTTCCAGTGCCACCCCGGGGTGCCACCCACCCCGTCCTGGCTCTGTCCTGGCTCTGTCCCTGCCCTGCGGCTGCCCTGCTCCCCCGAGCAGGAATCGAGGCCCCGCTGGCTCCGCGCTGCCGCTGGAGCCATCCCAGCTCTGGCCAAAAGCCTCTTTGTTCCCTGCGAGCGTCTCCGGAGCGCTGCCAGGGCTGGGAAACGTCTCCAGCTCCTGTTCCTCATCCCGAACATCTCCGGGATCCCTCACGGCTCCCTCATGTGTCCCAGGGGTGCAGAGCGGGGCTGGAGGCCACGGGGACATGGCCACATCCTGCTCCCCTGGGGGCTGCTTTGGCTCGGCAGAGCCAAAAATCTGAAATTCCGTCAGGCCCGAAATCCAAAATTCCGTCAGGCCTGAAATCCGAAATTCTGTCAGGCCTGGAATCCGAAATTCCGTCAGGCCCGAAATCCAAAATTCCATCAGGCCTGAAATCCGAAATTCTCTCAGGCCTGAAATCCGAAATTCCGTCAGGCCCAAAATCCGAAATCCGCACCAACCCAGGGCAGCTGCCCCGGTGGCGGCTCCCGGCTCCACCCAGGAATTCCCTGTGCCCAGGGAGCTCCAGGGCTGGCGGGAGGAGCTGCTGGGGATCCCCACGGGCGTGGGGTGCTCAGGGAATGGGGTGCTGTGGGGTTTGGGGTGCTCTGGGGTTTTGGGTGCTGTGGGGTTTGGGGTTTGGGTGCTGTGGNGCTGTGGGGTTTGGGGTGCTCTGGGGTTTTGGGTGCTGTGGGGTTTGGGGTTTGGGTGCTGTGGGGTTTGGGGTTTGGGTGCTGTGGGGTTTGGGTGCTCTGGGGTTTTGGGTGCTGTGGGGTTTGGGGTTTGGGTGCTGTGGGGTTTGGGGTTTGGGTGCTGTGGGGTTTGGGATGCTCTGGAGTTTGGGGTTTGTGTGCTGTGGGGTTTTGGGTGCAGTAGGGTCTGGGGTGCTGTGGGGTTTTGTGTGCTGTGGGGTTTTGTGCTGTGGGGTTTGGGGTGCTCTGGGGTTTGGATTTTGTGGGGTTTTGTGCTGTGGGTTTGGGTGTTCTGGGGTTTGGGTGCTGTGGGGTTTGGGGTTTGGGGTGTTCTGGGGTTTGTGTGCTGTGGGTTTGGGGTGCTCTGGGTTTTGGGTGCTGTGGGGTTTGGGGTTTGGGTGCTGTGGGGTTTGGGGTTTTGTGCTGTGGGTTTTGGGTGCTGTGGGGTTTGGGGTTTTGGGTGCTCTGGGGTTTGGGGTGCTCTGGGTTTTGGGGTGCCACGGGCCGTGCGTGGGGCCGCTCCCAGCTTCCACCCCTGTTCCTCGCAGTGCCCGCCCTGCCCGGCCCCGCTGGCACCGGGAAATGTGAGTGTGGCGCTGGCCGGGGGCACCCCGAGCTGGCCGGGCTGGGCTGGGACCTGGGGGTGACAAAAGCCACCGCGCCGCTGCCACCAGCCCCCCACGTCCCCACGTCTCCTCCTGGCCCTGCAACATCTGGAAGGGCCCTGATCCTTTCCAGATGTGGCCCCATTCCTGCAGCAGCCACTGGCTGGGCTGCGGTGGGGGGGATGGCAGGGGGGTGGCAGGGGACGGGGACACTCCGTGCCCCATGGTGGCACTGGGGACAGAGTGCTGGGACGATGGGCACCGTGGCGGGCTCAGGGCTCTGCTGCTGCCACCTTTCCAAGGCTCCCTGGGGACACCTTTGTCCTGTCCCCACAGGTCACCCTCGGTCCCCCAGGCCCAAAGGTAGGTTTGTCACCTGCCAGGACACCCAGAGCTCCAGCAGGGATGTGGGGACACGGTGCCAGGGCAGCCCTGCCAGGAGCTGCGGGCACACTCAGGGACGTGGGGACACCCTGTGTCTGTCATCCACCTTGTGCCCGTTTGTCACCCACCTTGTACCCATTTATCCCCCACCCTGTGCCCATTTCTCACCCACCCTGTGCCAGTTTTTCACCCATTCTGTGCCCATTTCTCACCCACCCTGTGCCAGTTTTTCACCCATTCTGTGCCCATTTTTCACCCACCCTGTACCAGTTTGTCCCCAACCCTGTGCCCATGTGTCCCCCAC